AGATTTCTGTTATAGCTAAACCACAGTAAAAACGTCATTATTATCTATTGAATTCCCAAATCAATACTTTCAAACATGGTGACTTTGCACAGCCCACCCTCACTTAAATCCAGTTCACTTGCATGTCATGGCATCACCTCCCTCTTTAAGAACAAAGGATAAACAGCAGCATCATTCTTTTAACAATTGAATCCAAAACAAAGGGATCCAGATTTCAAAAAAGAACTCACCATTTTAACAATATTTCTATTTAACTGAATTATTAAATTTATATTAATCACTTTCATGTCATAGATTGGTAAACTAAGGTAACTTGTTTTAATATCACACAGCTGACAAATTTCCAGATCCATTCATTTTCCCAACACTTTGCCTTAATGCAAAATAGTAGAATATATTCCAACTCATCATAAGCATCTTATTAGGAGAGACAAAATTTCACTTAAGAGGAGATCAGAATAAATTCAATTACACTTGGATTTATTTTCCAAAAGGTATCTCACGGAATCTCAATTTATACTTTCATTTAGCATTATATGTTTCACAACATGGCCTTTGTGAAACATATAAAAGTATTTCATATTATGGGGTTCACTATTTCCAGTTAATTCACTGCCAAGGATTTTTAATATATTCTGATGTTAGGTTTAATCTACTCCAATCATCCCATGTAAAAGCACATTTTAATTTAGTTCAAATCTGGGTTCTAATTGCTTATCAGTTTACTCCTAGCTCTCTGTAACTTTTCCCTATATGCTTCCAAACCAAGCTGCAATTTTTGTCATGCCCAATAAAAGAAATATATGATGTTTCTCACAACCTTCCTACTTAAAGACAAAAGTCCCCTCAAACCTTTCTTTCGACATCCCTCTCCCGTGGTCCAAAAACCCACACTTCTTGTTGTCTTCCATATTCTTCCCTTAAACATCCTTAAATTTTAAAGTTCACTCCCTAAATTCTGCTTCTTATTTCAATAGCATTTCAGACTATTATTCTCTAATCTTTACTTCACTAAGTTTCTCCTTTATAATTTTAGCACACATAGTTGTTAAACAAAACTAATGACTTGCTAAAAACTTTTACTCATAATAGTTCTGACTTTGCCAATACTTTAATTATAATAGTTAAAACTACTGAATTGTTACCAGTTCTGTTATTCTCTATGAAAGAGAAGCAACACAAATCCTTTAAGATACTTTTAGCAATTATAAAAATCTTTATCAGCTTACAAAAACTTGGACTATTCAAATAACAATTTAGTTCTGGTATATTATTCACAGAAGTGAATAATATAATAATGACAAATAACGAAGCATTTATCCAAATAAACTTCACATTTCAGGTTGCTTTCTTAAATAAGCTTCTCTTTTTGTAGGCAGAGTTAACTTTTAAAATGTTTAATGCAGTCTATTTTTTTTTTTTTACTTACAAGCTTCTCTCTAATCAGAAAAATGACCTTCCTTTCTTGGCTGTAAAACAATAAATCTGTCATTCTGGGTGGTGGGGTGAGGATGGGGGGAGGCTTCATTTCTCTTAAAACAAATTCTAAAGAATATTAACTCCCAAAGTCATTAGGTTATTTCAGAATTTATAAAAATATTTAACCCAAAATCTAGAGATGCATAGTAGAGAACTTAATTTTCTGTCATAAATTTAGTTTCTAATTAGTTTACAACGTCACAAATTTCTACAATTTGAGGGGGGGGGAATTTCCTTACCTCTTACCTCCCCCTTTGAACTCCCAGTGTCCAAAGAGTGCAGGAATGAAAGGAAAAAGGAAAGAGAGAGACTTGTTCTGAAGGCTTAAAGAACTCAAAAAACAGATCACAAAACACACGGAGGTTTTTTTTTTTCCTGTCATGCATACAATTTTCCAAAAGCAATCAATAAAATGGCACAGATGGACCATATATAGACACAGTTGTAGATATATAAATGCTCACTACCAACAGACAGTTGTGGGAGATATGGGCTGCTCCAATATTTCTTTTCTTATAATTCTGGGTGATTTTAATGCCAGAGTAGACTCAGACTGCCAAATATGGCAGGGATTCCTGGGAATGAATGCAGTCAGAATCAACAATAGCAGGTGGTCACTTACTACTGAAGATCAGTGCACATCATGACTTATCACCAACACTGTTTTCCATTTACCTAAAGGCAATAAAACTTCATGGATGCACCTTCATAGCAGACATTGGCATTTAATAGACTATATCGTCCTAAGGAGAAGAAACAGGATGTAAGAGTGGTGAAGGCCATGTGTGGTGCAGAGTGCTGGACTGATTATTGACATCCTCTCCAAGCTAAATATCTGCATTCAACAAAAGCAATGGCCTCAAGGCAAGATGACTACCAGAAGATTTAATGTCAACAGATTAAGGCACTTCTTCAAGCAGGAACAATTCATTACTAATTTGGAGGGAAAGCTGAGCCAACACATAATTGGCAACAGTGAAGCATAAAAGGAGTGGGCAGCTTTCAGAGATTTGGTGTACAGCACTACGTTTACACATCTGGGCTGAACACTCACAAACATCAAGACTGGTTTGATGAAAATGATGGGGAAATTCAGAAACTGCGAAATGAAAACCAAAAACTCCACAGGGTTTACTAGCAGGATAGTTCATCTGTTTCTAAGAAGGCAACATTTAACTCCATCAAAAGTAAAATGTAAGCGAAGCTTAGAGAGAGATGCAGGATTCTTGGCTCAGTAAGAAAGTAGGTGGAATTCAGTTTGATGCTGATGGTAACAACCCAAAGCACTTTTATGATGCCTTAAAGGCTATTTATGGGCCAAAGACCTATGGTGCATCTCAACCACTCAGTGCTGATGGAGCCACATTGATTAGTGATAAGGCCATGATCCCGGAGAGCTGGGATGAACACTTCCATTGTGTTCTCAACAGACCATCATCAATAATGTTGAAGTCATTGACTGTTTACCTCAGGATGAAGTCAATCCCTATCTAGCCAAACTTCCAACTAAAAAAGTTTTTCAGTGCCACTAGGCTCCTCTCATGTGGCAAAATGCCTGGTGCTGATGCTATTCCAGCTAAGATTTATAAGGCAGGGGATCCACTTCTCATACAAAATCTAACTGAAATCTTCTGGGTTATATCATGAGGAGATTATCTCCCAGGAGTTCAAGGATGCCTCCATTGTCCATCTCTATAAAGGCAAAGGAAATAAATTATCCTGTGAAAATCATGGGAGGAGGCAGTTTCTCTCTTGCCAGAGTCTTCCTTAATAGGCTGATCCTTCACCTGGAAGATAGTGATCTACCTGAGAGCCAGTGTGGATTCAGAAAGGTCCAAGGAATGGTTAATATGGTGTTTGCTTCCTGACAACTGCAGGAGAAATGCCAGCAGAAGAACAGAGGTGCACAACGTTTGTTGATCTAATCAAGGGCTTTGATATTGTCAGTGATGAGGGCTTATAGAAAATTATTGCAAAATTTGGTTGCCTCGAGAAGTTCATCAGTATTGTACTTCAATGCATGCTTGCCCAGGTTCTGGATAATGGACAATGCTATTGTGTTTTCCCAGTCACCAAGGCTGTGTGTTTGCCCCCATGTTTTTAGCATGACGTTTTCAGCAATGTTGTCAGACACCTTTAACAAGGATGAAATGGTATCGAAGTCAGCTACCACACTGATGGTAAGTTATTTAACTTGAAAAGGCTACAAGCCAAGACTAAAGTGGAAGGAGAGTTGGTGTGTGACTTTGTAGATAATTGTGCAATCAGTTCACAGATGGTTGTGCACTCAGTGCAGCCTCTGAGGATGAGATGCAACAGAGTATGAAATCAGTTCTCTTCTGCATGTTCTAATTTTGGCCTAACTATCAACACCAAGAAAAGACAGGTTCTCCACCAGCCAGCACCACATCATCCATATGTGGAACCATCAAGCAAATGGAGAAATATGAATGCTGTGGGTAAGTTCACTTACTTTGGCAATATGCTTTCCAGGTATGTCCACAAAGACAATGAGTTTGATACACATATTGCCAGAACTAGCTCGGTGTTTGGGAGGCTCTGAGGAAAAATGTGGGAGAGAAGAGGTATTAGACTGACCACCAGATTGAAAGTCTACTGAGCCATCGTGCTGTATGCCTGTGAAATCTGGACAGTCTACCAGCGCCATGCCAGGAAACTGAATCGCTTCCATTTGAACTGTCTCAGGAAGACTCTGAAGATCACCTGGCAGGATAAGATACCAGACACTTGAGTCCTTTCTTGATCTGAACTGCCAAGCATTCAAACTCTACTGCACGGAGTGTAACTCCAATGGGCTGGCTACATTGTTCAAATACCAAACATATATTTGCCTAAAACATTATTTTGCAAAGAACTCACACAAGGCAGGCGCTCATGTGGTGGTCAGAAGTGATACAACGACATTCTTGAGGCCTCTCTGAAAAACTCTGTAATTCATTTTGTGATGTAGACATGGGTACATGACCACCCAGCATGGCATGCCCTCATCAGAGAAGGCACTGTGCTCTATAAGCAAAGCAGAATTGAAGCAGCTCAAAGGAAACATGAGGTGCACCAATTTGGAGAATCCACTCCAAATGTTCCCAGGGACTATTTGTGCTCGACCTGGTGTAGATGGTAGACCTTCTGAGCTTTTATTGGTCTGATTGACCCCAATACAGTGATGTCATTTTGGTCTTCAAAAAGGAAGGACAACCAAATGGCAAAGCTGCAGTTATAGCCTTCTGAATAGTTACTTCACCTGATAATTTATCTCTTTTGCTCAAAGCAATCTCTGCCTGGTACAATTTAAGTAAATGCCACTGACTTACACATCGCCTTACTCAGTTTGATTGTTGGAGACCTCACTATCTCAAACAGAAATTTGTTTGTCCTGTGTTTGTCCTTTCATCCTTTTTTTCCTCAGAAGAGATACACTGAAAAAAGAGATAGTTCCCAGCTTGGCATTTTAATTCCCCCATCCTTAAAGGATGCTGCTAGAATTCAGTCTCCTTTTTTAGGGTTGGAAACACAGGCAGTTCCCCAACATCTCAAGGTCAGAAAACAGTTTTCTGCTTGAGGCATGCTCCCCTCTCACCTCTGTAGACTTTTGCAAGAAGTCTCTACAATGCAGACATGACTCCGTGAATGTGACCCAGGTAGGCTTTTATGATTCCCTCTATTTATAGCCAACTAAGTCCAAATTCAAAAGCTGTAGCTAACACAAATAGAAACACTCAGAACAGACATAAATTATACAATACTCTTTTTGCCTGGAGAAGATCTGAAACTGCTGTGGAAAGGGAGCCAAGCCACCTCCAGAGTCTCTAACAGAAACTCTCCTTTTGTGGAAAATTTGTTCCACTTGGGCCCAACAGAATAGAGGGAGGTTCTGATAAGGAACTGGACAGGACAGCTCTTATTTTCCTATCTCACCACTGCCATCAACTGTCTCTATTGAATTTTAATAAAAGGGTAAACTGAGGCAGATCTCTGAGCAAGATAACATTTATTAGCAGGGGCAAGCTACCTATCAATAAACAGCCTGAGCAAAAGGACAGCTCCCCTTTTATAGGTTTTGAGGAGCACATAACAAAGAACAGAACACAGTATATGGTACTGGGGCAACATGACTGGTTACAGAACTGAAGTGCAAGGAACATTATGATTGGTTGGAAGTTTGGTAATGGGTGCTAGCAACAACCCCCTTCTTTTCTCATGAGACTAAGAAGTGCTCTTTGAGTCCAGGTGCAAGATAGTGGCCCAAACTTTTGGACAGACATCCTTGAAGGCTAGCTTGGTGGAGTAAGGATATCAGGCCCAAAACTCCCTTGCTTTCTTACACATTCTTCAAGGTCAGTTAAATTCCTTGAGGCTAGAATAGATAGTTGTTTTTTTTTTTAAATTTTACCTCATTACAGGCCAGCTGAACTCTGAACTAAGTTCAGAGACAAAGAACCATGACTTATTCAGTTACAGGGCAAAAGCAATTATTTGTAAACAGGATCAATAAGAAAATCATGTCCAAAGGGCTAGGCCGGTCCAATTATATGTTGTTCAGGTGCACAGACATTTCCATTTGTTTGATATTTCCATCTGGATTTGTGAACCTAGTTTAAAGTACATATAAAGGTTGTCTTTGTATTTCCAGAGCCTGGCATGCAGTTGGCATTTAATAAATACTTGCTGAATGATTTTTTAAAATAGTAGTAGCCAGTTTTGCATGACATCAGTGAAAGCCATTTTGAACATCTGATATTTTCTTTCTCTCTCCATGAGAAGACCCAAGGGTACCATTCTTATGGTAATCAAATAGATACTTCTGAGACACCACTTTATGCTGCTAGGACTTCAATCAGAATTTGGGGCAGAGGAATGGTGCTCACCTGCTGGTGGAATGTCCTCTAGAAGGGCATGGACGAGGCTGCTGTCCCACAGAATAGCCACAGTGGTCCTGACCAGGAGCAGGGACCCTCGGGCCTGGCCAGCCTGCTGTGGATGAGGTTTTGGTACAAGAATATTGCACAAGTCAGTCTGCTTATGGTCCCACCTACAGAACTCTGGGCTCTCTTATGCAGAGGGGCCTTGCCCCCATGGGCAGAGGGGGCAGCAGCCAGCTCTGGCTCCTTGGCTGGAGGGGTTGGCTCTGACGACCCTTTATCCCCTGTCCCTGTATGAACTGGCCATGAGTCAGAGCCTCCTGCCTCCTCTGAAGGCCCTGTGCTTCCAATGCTTGGGTGGGCTGAGGAGGAAGCTTCTTTGATGCCCCTAGGGCCATGTTTGTCTTCAGACCAAGCCTTCAACAGATCCCATTTCTTCCAGGTTACACTCCCACCGTTCCGTGATCCCCTGTTACAAGCCCAGCAAGACAGGGATGAGGAGAACAGAGCGATTCTTCAGTGTGAGACAGGTACTTGGAGCTGCCAGCAGCCTCCACTGTGACAACAACCCAGAGGTGACCAGATTCAAACTCTCATCTGCTGCTTCTCTCCATGTAGGAAAACTATACACAATGAAGGAGTTTAAAGAAATAGAGAAAGCCAAATGGCTGGCCAAGCTGCCACAATCATCCCTTGCCCGGCAGAATATCAGCCCAAACGAGTGGCTTAAAATCCCTGCTGGTTACATGGAAAGTGAACTTCGTCAGAAGTCCAGGTAGGGGTTGGTTTCTAGCATTTCAGTCTGGTGCTCACCAGGAGGGCTTCATGCCTTGGAAAGAAGCATGTCCTCAGCAACCCTTTTCCTGTTCAAGGTTAAGAGTGAGAGTGAATCGTAACCAGATCAGCTCTGACTTCAGAAAGATCTTCTATCCTTCAGAAACCAATAGAAAAGCCGACATTTCCCAGTAAGTCTCTTGTCAGCACCTTTGTAATTTCCTCATTTGTTCCTCTGGTAGCTGAGTGACATTAGGCAAATAATCTTACTTTTTGTTAACTTGTTTCACAACACTTGTACTCCCCATGAGAAAAACACTTTTAAAACTTTCATAGAAATGTGAGCTGGTGGGACTCCCTTCACCTGTGGACTATCAAAAAAATCTGTCCAAGGTTTTTTTAGTTTTATATTTATTTTATTTTCAGTTACATTTTCAGTTCTGAGTTGTCTCCTTCCCAACTCTGCTTAGAGAAGGCCAGTCTTTGAGTTGGATATACATGTGGAACTTATACTACATCCTTCCATAGATCAGTTCTTTCAATGGATGTGGACAGCATCTTCCTTCCTAGGTCCTCTGTCACTGACTTGAATGTTCTCATCACTCAGAATAGCTTTGCCATACACTTTGAACAATACTGCCACCACTGTATACGATGTTCTCTTGGTCCTGTACTATCCAAGGTTGGATACACTTTGAGGGTCAGCCTCCATACAAAATAATGGCTCAGGAGCCCAAGCAACGCGTTCACTTTTACCAGTCAACCAGAGGACAAAAGAGTTCAAAGCAAAAGACTTTTAATCAATGGCACAAACCAAGTGCCAAGAGAAGATGACCCTCAGGTCCGCAGGGGGTTTGCACCCCCATCCATCCCATAAGGGCCCCCTTACTGGCAAGAAGAGGTGTATACTAAGAATCCTTGTCAGACACACCCATAGAAGGACAACAGATGTAGCCAGGGTGGCTCGTATCATCAATGGGGCAGAGCTGCTGCATCCTCTGCTGCTGTCATCGTCCTGCTTTCTGGGTGGCCTCTCAGGTTTCCTCCATTCTCCATCCTGTTGTTTGCAGTTCTAAGGTGTTCTCTACTGCTAGGGAGCAGTGGTTAGGAAGCCTCTGTCACTGAATGGGAGAGCTACAGCTCTCTTAGGACAGACTTGGCTGTGAACCAACAGCCCAAGCACAATGCCCAAGCTGAGACTGTCTGTTCTTCAGTCCTCTGTCTCCGGTCCGATACAAGGAGCTGAGTTGGTGTTAGGGAGGTTCCTGTAGCTGCTCATTTCAGGGACTGCCCAGAAACCCCCTGGACCAGTTCAGAGGCTGGGCTGCTAGGGCAAGTGTTGCTCCCAAAATTTTCTTGGGTTTGATGAGGAAGGCAAGAATATTCCCTAAGACCCTCTGAACCATATTTCTCCTCTTACTCGCCATGCACACCTCCAACAACTAAACCTTGCTGGTCCCCTGTGCTCACCTCTGCCTTGAAGAAATGCTGTCTCTCCTGCGGCCATTTTCCTGAGCTCTGCTGTCATTTCTCACTCATCACTCCCAAGCTCCAACCTTCTAACTCTGGGATTTGATTTTCCTTGAATCTCTTCCTCCTCTCAAGGGGACAAGAGCTATCCACAGAGTGGCCCTTGTGACTCAGCCAATGACTGTCTCCATAACGAATTGTTTGTTTCTAGTTGTGAGAGTGGTGCTGAAGTCCTCTATCTGGATGCCCAAATTAACTTCATTTACTTAAGTGAAAACATTAAGAGCAGAGAGTGATTTTCAAAAGTAAAAGGTAAAGACACACAGGCTGGGATTGCCCAAATATCAGTTGCCAAGGTCTTCTGAGAACAGGGACAAGAGGCATCTTTCCTTAACCTAAACAGGCCACAGCTTTGCCCAAAGATTAGATTAAATTAGATTAAATTCAGGAAGAGGATTTATGAGAAGCAGAACCTTCTTAAAGTCACAGAGCTATCACAGGGCTACACTCCTGTGTCAGCCTTGACACATCTAAGCTAGGTGACTGTGAGCAAACCCCTTACTCTCCAGAAGCTTGATTTTCCTTAACTGTAAAATACTGATGATTCTGTGACCACTTGGTGGTGCTGTTAGGCAGAGTTTGTGGTATAGGCATCTGCTCCCTCCTGGATGGGCACCTACCTTTGGAATGTAAGAGCAATCATTCATCCCAAACAATACCTTTATTCTCCACTGTGTGGGCCCAGTCCCTAATCACTACTTTCATCTACTGAGCATGGGGGGGGGGAAGTAAAAAGCCCCAATTCCAACAAACCAATAGGAAGACAGTGTGGCTCACTAGCACCCATCCCTCTCACCAGACCATCATGGATGCCTGGCTCATGGTATCAAAAAGAAAACAGAGGAATCAGATCCTCATGGCTAGGTCTTTTCTAATATAGGAAACTTATTCAGAGTTCCCATCTTGGGCAAAGTCCTAGGACTTCTCATTATATTTCTCTTCTACCACAGGCCATTCACTAGCTCTTCATCTTACAGTCCTATTATTTGCAATTAAGAACACAATACATATAAAGCAGATACGACCAATCATAATTTAAGCAGTTAGGTAGAGTAGTGAGCACTGGATTCAAATGACCTGAGTTTCAGTCCTCCTTCAGATACTTACTAGCTATGTGATCCTGAGCAAGCAGCTTAACTCAGGAAACTCAGTTTCCTCCTCTGTAAAATTAATATAATCATAGTACTGCCCTCTCGTGGTGGTTGTGAGAATTAAATGAGGTACCGTTTGTAAAGTGCTTTGCAAACCTTAAACCAGTTATAGACCACCATTTGTTGCTGCCATCCCAGGGGAGCTGGCAGGCTCCCCCAAGTCCATGTCTGATTAGCACTGTTCTGGAGTCTCTCTCTCACCTCTGTGTTAAATGCCAGTAGTCCATGGGGCAAAGAGGGGAAGGGAGCAATCACATTAGGACCATGGAAGAGACTCAAATCTACTTCTGCAGGTGGCAGCCAGGTTTCTCTCTTGACAGCGAGGACTAACTAACTAACCCCCGAAGAGAGCAAGGACCAATGTCCCCTGAACAATCTAGCAGTGAAGACTCATAGAAGCCTTAGCCTTTGAATCCTAAACATCCTAGTGCTGCATTTGCATTAGGGACCAGTCATAAACTGAAAGGGAAACCATGCAAGATTCAAGACCCCTGAAAGCCTTCAAAAGCCCTGGGACGTACTAAGGATGAGTGACTTAGAGCTTCAGCCTGCAGACCCTGGAGCAGAAGCCCATTGCTCCCCATCATGAGGACCACTCATGAACTCATTTGGGCATCCCCATACTCCGGCACAAAGTCTGTGATTAGTAATTGCTTGTTGAGAATGAAATATGGATGCCAGGTGATAGGATTTTGGGATTTCTCCAGAAGCACCCACAGAACCACCAATTCAGAGCTGGCAGGGGCCTGCAAGGTCATCCTGGGCAACTTTTCCCCCTCTCTCATACCCATACACACACTTTACAGTCAAGCTGAGTCAGACTTGGGAGGGAATAAACATTTACATAGCACCAACCATTTACACAGCTGGGGCCACCACAGGACTAGTGACTCAACCCCATCCCCAACACACTCGTCACAGACAGATAGACCCAAGATCACATGGGTAGAAAGCAGCAGACCAGGATTTGTAGCCTGGACAGCCAACATGAATCCTGTGTCATGGCCTGGCAGGATGGGAGGGTTGCATTCCATGTCCCATGCTTGAGATGTGGCCTTCACAGAGGAGACAAACCCCAGGCAAGACTGATGAGAACATACAGCTGTCACGAGACACACCAGACAGCCAGATGTGGCCTTTCATTCCACAAAGAATGTCATGGGCAGCATTGCTAGTACTCTGGGGTGAAATTAAAAGAGATCAGAGCTGGGAGGTGTCTTTGCAGTTATGCTCCTTGTGCCTCAAACATGACTCATTTTACAGACGGGGAAACTGAGCCCTGGGAGGGTGTGGGGTGCCCTCATCCACACTCTCTGGGGCTATTTCCCCATCTGGAAAATGAGGGAGTTAGACTTAAGTTGCTGAGCAGTAACTAAGCCCCAGATCCTTTCAGTTAGGGTGTAGAAACAAGACAAAGCCACCCTACTCATCCCTGCATGCCGTGTGCTTGTGCATCGAGGAATGGGATGGCTTTGTTCGTCCTTTGCTTTCAGAGAAGGCCAATGATACCACAGGGTGATGTTTAGCCTCGTACATGAATTGGATTTCAGTGAGGCAGAGCTGCACAAAGTTGCCACCTCGTGGACAATGGAGTGTGTCTGTCTCTCACACACACATGCACATTCTCATACGTACACAATGCACACTCACACCCCCTCATGCACGCACTCACACACTCAATGCACTCACATACACATCCCCTCACAATGCACACCCACACACCCCCTCACACATGCACTTACACACACACTCACACAATGCACTCATATACTCCCACATGCACACACCTCCTCACACATGCACTCTTTCTCATACACACCCCCTCGCGATGCACTCTCACATACACACACCCCTTCATACATGCACTCTCATACACACCCTCACTTATGCACTGTCACACACTCACACAATGCACTCTCTCATATACACACACACACACACACACACACACGCACACGCACGCACGCATGCATGTAGGGTTCTTGGGGTAGGGCCTGCAGAGGTCTCTGTCATGACTGATGTCCCTCTGCACACTTGCTCTCAAACCTGCTACTGGCCCAACTGAGGCACTGCTT